AGTAATGAATAACGCCATTTTTTCTGTTTAGAATTCAACTGAGCCTTTATTTGTCATTTATAAGGTATTTATAAAGCATAAATAGTCCTCACTTTAAATTAGGTCACAAAACTAGGTGAAGTTGAGTTAATAAAGCATCTATTAATATACATAGTAACCATTAATATATGCCTGAATAATAAGACATATAAACGTTGATTTCAATAGCTTATTAATCATTTACTAACTCATTCTGAATGATCCTAAAATCCCTCAACTACTCTTAATTACAAATGGATGTAAATAATGTGATACTTATGTTAGTAATGAAAAATAAATCATTAACTAAGTATGAAATTACAAATATTGAACACATTATATAGGTGCTTATAAGTCAAGAATAGAGCATTTGTAGCTGCAGTTATAAACTGCTTACTAACGCTTATTAATGTAAAGTTAAGGCTTAATAGATAATGAATTCCCTATTTGCTAATGCTTAATAAATGATTTATAGTGTGTAGTTATTATAAAGTGTTACCAATATTATTGTTTAACTTGTTTATGCAGTGCATCATGAAAAGTAATCGAAACTTGATACTGTTTACAACACTTTTCTTACATATGCGTTTGAAGATACACAAATGAAACTGTATGGAATAAAAAATAAATTTTTGCAACCTAAACTAATCTAAAATTAAATTACTGTACAGTTTAAACATTGCTTCTTATATTGTTAAATTACTATATTGTTGTTGTTTTATCCAATTTCATGTCATATTTTGACACTCCTGTTATTCAGCAATGTTTAAACTACAGTAATTTTACTTTTTAGATAAGATTGCAAAGGTGTAAAGTTCATTTGATACTGAGCCTTTAATTGTCATTTATAAGGAATTCATAAAGCAGAAATAGTCCTCACTTTAGATTAGGTCACAAAACTGCATAAAGTTGAGTTAATAAAGCATTTATTAACATACATAGTAACCATTATTATGTGCCTGAATAATAAGATAAATAAATGTTGATTTTAATAGTTTATTAATCATTTACTAACTCATTCTGAATGATCTTAAAAAACCACCAACTACTCTTAATTACAAATGGTTAATAAATAACAAAATACTTAATTTAGTAATGAAAAATCAACCATTTACAAAGTATAACAATACAATTTTAAACACATTATAAATGTGGTTGTAGGTGTCACCGACTCGGTCCCAGTCACTCCCCTCGCTGGCCAGCAGAGGCCGCCATCTCCGGACTTCTAGCATTACATCATTCACTTACGCTGATTGTGCACACACCTGTCCCGAATCTAGCTTACGACCCACGTACCCTTTATAAGCCGCACAAAAACAGTCAGTGCAAAGTCTTGTTTAGCCCCGGCCAGCATTACTGAGCGTTATTCCCTGCCTGTTTTCTCGTGTATTACTCCAGCCTGTTTCTGACTCTGCTTCGCTTTCTGCCTGCCCACGACCCAAGCCTGATATACGGACTCTGATACTCGCTGCCTGCCCACGACCCAAGCCTGATATACGGACTCTGATACTCGCTGCCTGCCCACGACCCAATCCTGATACACGGACTCTGATACTCGCAGCCTGCCTTTGATCAATGCCTGGTAAATCCCTCTGTGTCTGTTTACCGCCAGTCTTGAAACCTTTCAGACTATTGTTGATGTGTGTTTGCACTTTGGTGCATATTGTGTGTTTGAGTGAGAGCTTGATTAATAAATACTGCATAATGGATCCCTCCGTGTCAGTCTACTCGTTACAGTAGGTCAAGAATACAGCATTTGTAGCCGTTGTTATAAACTGCTCACTAACGTTTATTAATGTAGAGTTAAAGCTTAAAAGATAAGCTTATGTGAATTAATTGTATCTTATGTTCAAGCTGCAATTGATGCATGTAAAACAGAACGTCTTGAAGCAGATTTTGATGGGGGTGTTTTTGGTTATTGACAATTACAAATTGATTAAAATTAATGGGTAACAATATTTTTCGATTAAGTCTTATTATTCTTGTTTGCAAAGGTTAATGAGGTAATTTTGTAGCACATTACAGAGACAAAAGATGGCACCATCTTATGAACATGTTAAAAGCAGTGCATATCCTACACTTTGCATTTACATAGTAGCCTGCGTTCGATGTTATATCAATACAAATTGTATTAACGTTAAGAAACGTGAGGTTATATATATATTGATTCGGGCCGAGTATGCCAGCCGAAGTCGGGCCGAGGGGTAAGTCTCCAGCAGGCGAGAATCTAGCCGGAACTGGCCCGAGTGTATTTTGCTATCTGGGACCCGTCCCCACCAATATCAAGTGCAAACCTATGCCCTTGCAGGAAATGACTACTAGAACAGGTGACCTTATTCTGGTTTAATCAAAGGTGCTTGAAATGATTACAGCTCTGTACTGATTCTTGTTTAAAAAGAGTTTAAATGTGATGGTTTAATTTTGAACAAACATATCACCAGTTATAAGAGAGTGTGCACACTTATGCAACCATATTATTTTACTTTTTTAATTTTAGTTTCCCACACCTAGAATATTTCAGTTTTTTTTATATTTTTTTTTTATGAAATTGTAAAGGTTGTAGTTTACATTTAGGGTGGAAAAAGTTCTAAAATGATTAATGTAGTTTATTGTTTTTACAATAGGGAAACCTTGCATTTTTATAGGGGGTGTTAGTGTTGCACAATATATCGATATGAAAAAAAGTTTTGCGATACCCTGGCTCTCAAAATGATGCGATTCTGCATACAGCTGTAATTGCGAGTGCTCATTAATAGAAGCAGTATGGGGGCCGCACGCTTCTTCTACTTTTATGTCATTAGAAATACATGGCACATGTGGTTGGTTGCTGTCACCCCAGAAGCCAATAAGCTTGCTCCTCGACATTTTAAAAATTCCATGTTGTTTGGATTAAAAATCTGTAGCTTATTTTCAGAGACCCTACCCCAGCTATAGATTTGCTAAGGGGGTTCGTGTTTGGTTACGCTAAGGTTACGCTTGCAGCAGGACTATATTATATGCTCAGAAAGCAGGTCTGTGAATATACTGGCTGTACCAGGGGCCTCATGTACAAAGACTTGCAAACATTGCATACGCACAAAGCTGTAAATGTGCATACGCAGAAAAAATTCAGACTTATCAAAACACTGTGTATGCGGGATCCCACGCATATTCTCTTTGTACATCCGAATAAACTGAGCACAGAACCACTCCCTGCCAGCTCCCCTAATAAATATGGTAATGACTCCACTTTGGCAGAACCAAATGAAAAAGCAATGGCAAAAGCAAGCAAAAAGAGAAACTTCACAGAATGTGAATTGGAGTTGCTCATTTTGGAAGTAGACCAGAGAGAAATTGTGTTATTTGCAAGTCTGTCCTCTGAAATAAATAACAAAAGAAAAAAATAATAGAGTGGGAGAGTTTAGCTGACGTAGTTAACCCAGTGGGGTCTTAAGATTGCACTGTGAGTGACTTAAAAAAGAAATGGTCCAATGTCAAGGTGTACAATTTTGTAGTGTCTGTTTAGGGTAAGTGCAAATAACACACCTCGTTGTAATGAGCTAGTTGAGTGATTCACCATCACTGTTTGATTGACAGAGACAACATAACTAAAGAAAGCAACAAACAGCAGCGTGAGTGGCATAGCTTGCATACCTGTCAACCCTCCCGTTTTTCCCGGGATTCTCCCGTATTTTACAGTTCTATCCTGCTATTATTTCGTAAAGGTATTTTCCCATATTTCTGAGGGTGGCAAATAAACATTAAAGAGCTGAGCCTCCGTATATGCAACACATACCACTGAACCACCAGGGGCCACCCCTTGCTCTTAAATATGGGTCTGTTCTGTGCTTTTGCTTTGTTTAGGCATGAAAACCCTTTGAAATAAATATAAAACGGCATAATTACCTTTCCTTTTAATTACAGGTCGTTACACAATACATATATTAATAACATATTGACATGACTGTCAGCTGATGCACTCCATAGTGACAAATAGATGCTGTTTCCTAAAGGGGGTCTGTACTTGCAATTTGAAGCGGAGCAAAAGTCTGGGTTTTGGGTGCATGTTTAAACAGATATGCACAAAATTAATAATAATAATAATAATAACTAAAGATGTCGATTTTGGTTTTTTTTTTTTTTCAAACACAACTAATTTCGTCCTAATGAGCATAAAAAGTTAGGTAAGTAATCGAGTGCTTTCATTATAAAGTTAGATGTGTGCACTTTTTTAAAGTGACACCTCTGTTATTTAATGTAATTAAACTAAAAAAGAAAATCAAAATAAATCATTCATTCATTGCTCTTTAATCAGAATGTGTTAGTTTTACAGAGAAAAAGCCATTGAGATTAGATAGCTTGAATCTATTTCATCATAATATATTATATATAATGTATGTGTGTGTGTGTATGTATATATATAGACACTGGCATTTCAGCTGCCCAATCACCCACTCTACAACTGACCAAGTGGCTGCCACCTTGGAGCCTCATCCCAACCATGCACATGACATGAAGTTGGCCTGGACCAACTCACATTCTCACTTTAATTTCATCATTAGTAAATCCAAACGTGATCATGAAATCAGTGGTATGCACAAAAACTTTGATACATGAAACGTTGATACATGAGGCCCCAGGTCTTGATGCTTGATTTTCAATAATCAAACCAGTAGCATGTGTAGATATATGCTGAAAAAATCAAACACATATACATTGCCAAATATCCATTACTATACTAAATCTGAGAGTTGAACCAAGACTTCTATTTTTTTCTGTTTGACTTTAAATGTACTCAAAACACCTGTAAATAATAAATAATACCATGATCATAATTATGACTGCACATGAAACATCAATTGTTTTTTGTGTTTATACCACAAGAGGGAGCAGTGTTCAGACCTTAGAAAATGAAAATAAAAAATAAGACCCCTCTCCTTGAATTACTTGCATCAACAATAAAACATCAAATAAATCAACAAGAATCATGAACAAATACCCACCCTCCAGTAGTCCCCAGTTTATGTCTTGATTTTCGGGTTTTGTCAGTGCTGGGTACTTGTTGAAGAGATTGGCCACAAAGGCCAAGTTGAGTTTAGGGTTGCCTGACATGACGTCTGTAGACGTGACAAACTGTCTGCACCCCAGCTTGTCTGCTTGCAGCAGCATACACTCAGCTCTCTTCAGGTCATCTTTCTCCTGTCACACACACAGCAGTACAAACATGAATTGTTGAAAAATAGGTTTCAGTGCAAATAAATTTACTTAAGCCTCAAGATGCAAAACATTGTCCTTTGCTGTTGTATGGGTCAGTGAGTAAAATAAGAACCAAATCGAATAAATAGTATAAAGAGAGACTGCATGGGTGAAGTAAGGTAAAGGAGAAAGCTTCATTTTGTGGTATTTAGTAAACTATCTAGACAAGTTTAGTTTGCCCAACTTTTAAAAATAAAAGAATAGGGGGGCGCACGTGAGCTCGACGAGGATGGCTGCGTAGTTTGAGAGCTCTCCTCAACTTCGCGTAAAAAAAACTATTCCTACCTTTTACAAACTGACTATTAACCTGGGTCTGGCTATGCCTAAACCACTGCCTTTGAAGGAATGTGATATTTTTACTAAAGCACGCAAGACGACGAGTACACGAAGCGCGAAAGTATCACCTTCGACAGAGAGTGTGGAGGCCGGCAGCATGGCGGACTTAGCTGAGGTGCTAACTGAGTTAAAAGCGCTTCGCTCCGAATTCGGATCAAAACTAGATGGCATAAACAACCGCCTTGAACTAATGGCAAGCTCTGTCTCAGTTTTGGAAAACAGCCTGACTGACATCAAACGTGAGATTTCTGCGAACGAGAAACGCATAGAGGAAACGGAGTCGCGCATTTCTGCAATTGAGGACAGACTGGACAGAACGGAGTCTGAGTTGACCATGGCGACCAAACGGATTGCACATCTGGAAATGAAAACGGACGACTTGGAAAACCGCGGAAGGAGGAAGAACATCCGTGTGTTCGGTCTTAAGGAAGGAGCAGAGGGTACACGCTCTTTACTGGACTTTATACACGACACACTCCCTCAATGGATAGGTCTTGAACCCGATAAATCCTTCACACTGGAAAGGGCCCATCGTACGCTGGCACCTGCAACTCCTAACCAAAACAGACCAGTGCTCGTCCGCTTTCTCAAATTTCAAGACAAGGAATTTGTACTGCGCAACGCGAGAAATCGAGATATCATCCACGATGGATCCAAAATCTCATTTGCCCAAGATCTCTCAGCAGAAACGATTCGACAGAGGCGTGAGTTTAACGATGTCAAAAGAAAGTTTTTGAGCATGGGAAACTTCCGCGGGTTTCACCATCCCTGTAAGCTGAGGGTGCTCCACAACGGTAAGATCCAGCTGTTCTCCACACCGCACGAAGCCGAGGAGTTCCATCGCAGCATTAGCACTACTTGACCGCAAACTTTATGACCAGGTTGGACCATTTGTTTGGGAATAGATATATTTTACCTGTTACATAACTAAAGACTAAATTTTGAACTTATCCGTTAACCACCTGTATACTTAATATGAGGACATAATTCCCGTTTTCCTGGATTTTATTACTATTAACGTTATTATTTTGTTTGCTTTTTGCTACGATCCCTATACAAAATCTTGCTTTTTCTTAGTTAAATAATTTTTGGTTGACTTAAATAACGGGAGCTTTGTTATATTCAATTTCATTCATAAAGTAAAGCTGCAGGCTATGTCTAGCCTAACGTTACATGTTAATATACTCTTTTACGCGTTGTTGTGGACACCTATTGTTGGCCGTTTTAGTTAGGTGCTACAGGAAAGTTGTGGTTATATAAAGATGCCTTGTCATTTGGGGACTAGGCTTTTGTTCTGGGGGTGGGGGGATGTCTCGTTTCGTTTTTTATATATTTTTTTATTTTTTCCTTCTTTTATTTATTATTATTATGTTCACACTGCTCCATTACTTCGAGTCACACAACAAAATATGGAAACATACGATTTCTAATGGCTAACAATATACTTAATATAATGTCATTTAATGTCAGAGGCTTAGGGCATCCTATTAAACGTAAAAGAATTCTTACATTCTTAAAAAAGGAAAAGGCTGATGTTGCACTACTACAGGAAACACATCTGTCCAGTGAGGAGCATAAAAAACTTAAAAGAGATTGGGTAGGACAGGTATATTTTTCAAGTTTTGCGAGTAATAAAAGGGGGGTAGCAACACTGATTCATAAAAATCTTCCATTTATATTTAAAGAACAATTTAATGACCCAGAGGGTCGGTATGTACTTATACATGGAACACTCTACGGCAGGGAACTTACATTGCTCAACATCTATGCCCCAAACGCAGACTGTCCTAAATTCATGATAAAAATGATTACCCTATTTAGCCAATACAATACAGAGTTTGGAACAATAGCTGGAGATTTCAATTGCTGTATGGAAAGTAGCTTAGATAAATCTTCACCCTTTGCCTCTAACCCCAATGCGTCAAAGGCTTTAAAAATGGCTTCTAATGATGCAGGCCTTGTTGATGTGTGGAGAGAGTTTAATCCTTTAGTTAAAGATTATACCTTTTATTCAGCGAGACACAAGACATATTCTCGATTGGACTTTTTTCTCGTACCACAGGGTTTACTACCATCTGTTAATTCCTGTAGTATAGGTTCAATCCTTATATCTGACCATGCACCAGTCTACCTTCGGCTGTTGCTACACGAACAGATTCACTCAACAAGGTACTGGAAATTTAATTCTTCATTCCTTACGAACACAGAAGCCTGTAATAATATTAGGCAATGGCTGGAACAATACAGACAAGAAAATGAGGCCTCCCCTGTCACTCCTGCAGTGATTTGGGATGCAGCTAAAGCAGTGCTTAGGGGACAACTGATTTCATATGCATCTGCAAGGAAAAAAAAGATAAACAAACAAACTGAACAACTGAAAACAGAGCTTTCCTGCTTAGAACAACTTCACAAACAGTCACCTACAGAGGCAAACAAGAAGAAGCTCAACACTGTTAGAAATAGTCTTAACTTACTTCAAATTGATCATGCCAAAAAACTTTTATTTTTTACTAAACAACACTATCATGAATATGGTAATAAACCAAGCAAGCTTTTAGCCTATCAACTCAAAAAGGAGCAGGCTGAACGTACTATAAAATGTATACGTAATGCAGCAGGCCAACTGAAATATGATTTGCAATCAATAAAATCCTCTTTTTTTGACTACTATACAAAGCTCTATACATCAGATAACCCCTCCGAAGTTGATATTAAGTTGTTTTTGCAGCAGATATCCTTGCCCTCAATATCTGAGGAGGAAAAGGAACTACTAGATTCTCCATTTACTTCAGAGGAGGTGTTTCAAGCTATTTTATCACTCCCCACTGGAAAAGCACCGGGCTTGGATGGATATCCTGTAGAATTCTACAAGGCCTTTTGGCCTCAGATTAAACCCTTGTTTATGCCAATGATTACAGATTTTGTTCAAAATGGAACTCTTCCCGAAACATTGAAGATAGCTGCAATATCCTTGATACACAAGAAAGATAAAGATGCCTCAGAATGTAGCTCTTTCCGCCCTATTTCATTGCTCCCAGTTGACTTTAAAATAATATCCAAATTAATCGCTCGTAGATTAGAAAACTTACTGCCCAAACTTATCAATCCTGACCAATCTGGCTTTGTAAAAACTCGAAATGAATTTGACAATGTTAGACGATTACTAAATATAATTGACCACTCGGCCCTGTACAAACAACCAGCATTAATAATATCTCTGGACGCTGAAAAAGCGTTTGACAGGGTCGAGTGGCCATACCTATTCTCAGTTCTAAAGAAATTCAATATTGGCGATAGATGTCTTGGGTGGATAAAGTCTATGTATAGCAACCCGCAAGCCCAAATATGTGTAAATGGGACTCTGTCCGAAAAACTTGGTCTGCATAGAGGATGTCGGCAGGGATGCCCCCTGTCCCCGTTTTTATTTAATTTAGCCATCGAACCATTTGCAGAGGCCGTACGGCTCAGCAGTAAAATATCAGGGATTTGTATTGATAAAATAGAAAACAGAATTTCACTATATGCCGACGATATAATCCTGTACTTAAACAATCCAGAAAATTCAGTACCAGCAGCACTAGATCTGATAAATACATTTGGGAGAATATCAGGCTATAAAATTAATCTATCAAAGTCTAATGCATTTTTAATGAACATGCCAATTTCTAATAAGCTAAAGACCATCTCACCTTTCACCTGGTCTCAGACTGGATTTAAATATTTAGGGGTGAATGTTTCTCCTAATCTCAAAGATTTATTTCACATAAACTACCCCCCACTTATTAAAAAGATTAAGGAAGATTTGGAACATTGGAATTTGCTCCCCATTTCACTGCTTGGAAGAATTAACGTAATAAAAATGAATATATTACCAAGAATTAATTTTTTATTTCAATCCTTGCCCTGTTACTTAAATAAAGATTTTTTCAAAAATGTTAACAAACTGATAAGCTCTTTTATCTGGAAGAACTCTGCACCCAGAATATCTTTTAAAACACTAACTAACACAAAAGAGAAAGGAGGGTTAGGCCTTCCTGACTTACAGTTATACTATTGGTCTGCGCAGATAAAGGGGATGATTGGTTGGATACAACCATCAAGAACTGCTCACTGGACAGATATTGAAGAAGCTCTTTGCTCACCTATACCTCTGACATCTCTTCCTTTCATTAACAATATGGGAAAATTACCCCCAGTGACAAGAACCTATGTTATCCACAACATTCTTCGGGCCTGGCAAGATGCAAAAAGGTTTTGTGGTTTCTCTGCTAAAATATCTATGCTAGCCCCTCTGTCCCCTAACCCAGATTTGCCACCTTCGCTTGGGAAATCTTTGTTTATAAAGTGGAAAGAACATGGTATATGTCAGTTCCGAGATCTGTTTATCAATGATACCCTTAAATCCTTCATAGACTTAAGGCAAGAGTTCAAGATACCAAGACAGGATTTTTATAAATATCTGCAAATTCGCCATTTGATAATTAGTCACGAAAAGAGAGGTCAACTATCCCTAAAGCTTTCCAATATAGAGGAGATTTTGGTGAACTCTGAATCTTTAAAAGGAAAAATCTCGGAGATATATTCTGCACTATTAGAATATTACAACT